ATATTAATAATATATTAACATGTATTAATATAATAATCAGCATAACTGTGTAAAAAAAGTTAATTATTTTGTGTCTAGTGCAGTGCCTGTATTTTCTAGTTATCCCTACCTCCAAATAGAAGCCTGATGGTAAAATATAACCATGGAATAATTGCAGATTTTATTTTTTTTTTCAGTGAAAAAGCAGATACTGTTCCTGGATATGATTTCTTGGTGAATTCAGTGTGGCCAGAAATCGTACGAGGTTTAGAAGAGAAATTGCCATCCCTGTTTAACCCTGGAAACCCAGATGTGTTTCATGAGGTAATTAATTTTGGTTTTTTCCATTTCTGACTTCTTTGGCACACACAAAAACTGAATGAGTTGGTGTTCTCTAGCTTTTTTCCCCTCTGCTGCTTTTGTGTGAATTCATGTTGTTGCATGGCTCTGAAGAGGAGGTTATCTCAGATCACTTGTTCTGATTTTCTGAGGAATTATTTCTCCCCTTAAGTTTGTCAGGAAAGTTCATACAGAAGTTAATTGAAGTCATTTAGTCATGTGAATTTGGCCTTAAGTATATGTTTTGGGAGTAGATAATTCTTTCTTAGTTGTAGAATTGCAACATAATTGAAGGTGGGAGTGAACGACCCCAGTGTTCGCCCAAGCCTAGGAATTCTGTGTAGCAAAGGCTGTCATGTTAATTAAATACCTGGGTTGCCACTTGTTCAGTGCTATGGGAAGGCTAAAAAACTTCTGCTTCACTTGCTTGATTTAGCTTTTGCTGCCTTACAGTGCTGCAGAGTATGTTGTGATTAGAAACACAAGTCAGCTAAAAGAAAGAAAAATACCTGGAGGCAGTGCCATCAGGTTTAGAACATAAAAGGAGTATTTTCTCTGGTATCACAACTAATTATGAAGCAAGTTTGCATTAAATAATGAATTTAAAAGACTTATCACTCTTGTGTTTTCTCCATTGGCACTACTGCTCTGCCTCTAAAAGTTCATCTTTTACTAATGGTACTTTATTAGTATGTCACAAATAGAAAATGTGAGCTTTCTGCTTTACCTCATGTCCTGTCTGCTTGTATTTAACCATGATTGCTGAAAAACTTGGATGGTTTTTCCTTGCAGCTTGACTTGTGATTAGTGTGAAACCTTTAGTTTTCAAGATGGAGATGGGACGCAGTGATAAATTGTCTGAAGGAAGGCGTAGCAAACAGGTCAGGACAGATGACTTAGGGAAATGTTGGCTTGCTGGTGGAGGTTTATAAGACATATGGTTCTTCCAGTGTTCATGCAAAACTGCTTTTACTAAATACTTACATTTTTTTCTTGGAATTTAAGATCTCTTTTGTACAGGGAGATTGAATAATTGAAGGCAGACTGGCATGACAGTGATTGTTTGCAGGGCTGGCTCTGAATAAGAAGCAAATTAAATGGATGTTGAAGAAGGTTGTGGTAGTGCCATGCAAATGATACTGTAGTGTGTTCCCCCTCTGCTGTGGTTTAACCCCAGGCAGTCACCAAACAGCATGCAGCCACTCACTCACTCCCCCACCAGTGGGATCAGGGAGAGAATCAGAAGGGTAAAAGCTAGAAAAACTCATGGGTTGAGATAGAGACAGTTTAATAGAGAAAGCAAAAGCTGCACACACAAGCAAAGCAAGGAATTCATTCATTGCTTCCCACGGGCAGGCTGGTGCCTTCTCCAGGAAAGAAGGGCTTCAGTACAGATAGAGAGTTGCTAGGCCAGATGTCCCCCCTTCCTCCTTCTTCCTCCCACTTTATATACTGAGCATGATGTCATATGATATGGAATATCCCTTTGGTCAGTTTGGGTCACCTGTCCCAGCTGTGTCTCCTCCCAATCTCCCATGCACCCCCAACTTCCTTGCCAGCCTGGCAGTACGGAAAACAATAAAGGCCTTGGCTCTGTGTAAGCACTGCTCAGCAATAACAAAAATATCTCTGCATTATCAACCCTGTGCCCTGGACAAATCCTAAACACAGCCCCATAATAGTCACTGTGAAGAAAGCTAGCTCCACTTCAGCCCAAACCAGCACACCCTCCCTCCTGAGAATCATAGAATTTAGGAGTTGGAATGAACCTTACAGATCATCTAGTCTCAAACCCCCTGCCATGGACAGGGACACCTTCTCACTAGATCAGGTTGCTCAAGGCTTCATCCAGCCTGGCCTTGAATTGTGAGCCTTTTGCTGCTCTGAGCTGCATGGTTTACAGAGGAATGTATTTTATCTTCAGAAAAGCTGGGTTTGCTTAAAAGCGTGTAATCTTGTATTACTCTGATATTGACCAATAATAGCATCATGTTTATTTGAAAACCAGCCAACTGTCCAAAATCCCCCCATAAAAACCCAACACCCACCCATGGCTTCTACGTAAAGCATGTAGAAAGTCTAAAGTATTTTCCAGGCTGCTTTTGACTACTTAAGTGACTTGGAGTCATTAAAATCATTAAAATATTTTACCTGAAAATCAATAGGAGTTGAAATGCCAAGTGTAAAAATGCTATTATACATGTCGAAAGACTAAAGTTTTGAATTAAGGGGGGGGGAAAGAACCTTTACAATTGTTTCTGCACTGTGGATGAGCCAAGTAATGCAGCACAGATTTTAGACAGTAATCTTTTTTCTTTGTTTTCTCAGTTGGTAGAAATGCAGAGTAGTCTTTTTTCAACAGGTGTGTTTGCATATGTATGTATGTGTAGGTTTAATGCTGAAAAGTTTGAATATGCAGTATTATCTGTTAGGAGGTATTTTAGATGTCGAGGAGAAAGGGGAATGGAAACACTTATTTTAAATCCTTTAAAATCAGACTGGTAGTGTTAAGTATGTGTGTCAAAATAACTATTTTTGCGAGGTTTTTGTGGGTTTTTAAAAATTGTTTCATGTTGATGTGTCCTCATTTCTGAGTCAGATTTGTAGATCTGCAGGTATTTGGAAAGAACACTTCTTTTATCCCTAAATACTCGTTTGAGATTAGGTTTAAGGTTCCTCTGTTTGAAAATAGCTCCACTGTGGTTCCTAATTTATCTTCTCTTAAACAACTGTGCAGTCAACAGTCCAATCCTAGAAGCTGAAATGGGAACTAATCTTGCAGTTAGTTCCTTCTCTTGGGTATAATCTTATCAATAACTAGATAGATGTCTCTTGAGTTGTCTTCTATTTTGAAAGTGAGAGGTTTTTTCAGAGTGCTTAGTTGATACCTCTGACTTCAGGTAGTAGAGCATTAACAGCTTGCTTGCTTGCTTTTATACAGTGCTGAGAAAGGAGGCCTGAAAGAGCACTGATCTGTGTCATTCATTCTGGATCTAACTCCGATACCTTTTATGGGTCCCTTGTGTTGCAACTACAGCCACCTTGGGAGAAAAGCAGTTACCTAAAAGCTTCTGTGTCCAGTTTTCAGAATACTGAAACTGCTATGTCACAAGAAAAACAGCAGAAAGTTACCAGCTTACGGAGATACACAATACAAAAGCATTGCCCATAGCAGTGCATGTCCTGTGGTCACAGGGGAGTTCGAGAGCAGAACCTGTAAGCAGCAACACAAGGGGCTTCTCCTGACAAGGTTTTAGTGCTTTTTGAGAGGCAAAATCACATCACTCACGTAAGTGCTCTGGGTTGTGGTAAAAGCCCTGCTGCTGCTCTTGCTGCTGCGCTTGCTGCAGTGAAGTCAGAACCACTGAGAGATTCAGTCAGGCTTATTTCAGTTACTTTGCAGTGCATTAATAGGAATGAATGATAGGGTTTATGGCTTTTTCCTTTTTTTTTTCTATTTAATAGAAAAAACTTGTGCAAAAGCCAAACATTTTCATTCCACAGAGGTAATTTTAACTGTAGGTGTATTTTGATTTTAGATTTATTTACATAAGCTTCTGCTAGCAAGGTCTGTTTTGTGCAAAATAGCACTTCTTGTACAATATTGCTTCTGGTTCTCACTCAAGTGTTTGGCTTTTTACTTTGTGAATGATTTCATTTATTATTTCATTATTTTCAGGGCATTAATATGTTACAGTACATTTGGGGATTAATGTAATTTCTTTTTCCTTGCAACCAACTTTGTAAATATCTTATTAGAAATATGCACTGGATGAAGTTAGTTTATCTGAAATTGTTTGAGGTTCTTCTGCAAATATTTGGTATTTGCAGAATTTTTTTAGGGAAACAGTCCTAGAAATTCTTATAATATAGGTCCTGTGTAAGAGAAGAAAATATCATGCTTCCATTCTCCCGTGTGTTTGGCTCTGTGGGCTGCTGAGTTTCGTTCCTGATAATTTCTGTTTGTTGTATACCTTTATCTCCTGTGTCTGACTCTCTTCTCAGTACTGTGCAGCACTGGCTGTGCTCAGAAACACTGATGCATCTCTCTGATCAGTTCTGCTTGTTTGGTGTGTTTGGACAGTTTTATGCTTTTTAGAAGTGCCCTGTGCTAGCTTTTCTTACCACTGAGCAACACCTACAAGTTAATTGGTTTGGTTTCACTGCAATCCAGGATTTTAGCCTTATGTGATTAGGTGATAGGGGCAGCCCACGCTGAACCTGGGGCTTCAGTGTAGCATGGTACAAGAGTTCTGTGGAATGGGTGGTGGCCTTCCTTGTGTGCTGGGACCCTGTGTGTGATCAGAATGCTCCTTCTCTTTCTGCAGAAGTACACTACGAGTATGGATTTCGTAAGAAAGTTTGAACGCCAGTGTGGTTCCCAGGCCAGTGTGAAACGGTTAAGGTCTCATCCCTCTTATCACAACTTTAACAACAAATGGAATTTGCCTGTGTATTTTCAAATAAGGTCAGTATGCATTTTTTTGTGTTCACTCTCTCAAAAATAGGGTTTAGTCACAGCAGGATGACCTGGCTTAAGGTCAGGTCTCCTCGTTGTTCAAAGTTTCACTTATCAGCAAATCAAAGTAGAAATTAAATTAAGAATTTAATTGCTATGTCAGGTAACTGTTGTACATGTGTTTCAACAATTTAGCAAAATCACAGCCAACTACTCTTCAATATGTACCATGTTACACTAAATTTGATATGCTACTCATAAGGCTCTCACAAACAGATCTAGATAAGTCTTCAATTCTTGTTTCAAATTCTTTTTCTCCAGTGTTCATGGAACTAAACTTATGTTGAAAGATGCTATTTGTGCGAATCCAGAGGAATGCTTACTATGATGCAAGAAGTCTTTATCCTTAGAAATAGAGAATTAAAGGACCTGACAGCTTGTAGCTTTCCAGATCTAGCCATGTTTCTGACATCCTTTTTGTCTCATAGGATGTGCTCTTTTAAAGTGCTGGGCCTTCCCCAAGATTGCCCTAATATTCCATGTACCTGTGGAGCTAAGTAATAACTTTTAGCCTACCCTTCCAGCAGGTCTGATGTACCTGTAGTATTACCTTTTATAGGCCTTGCAGCTAGAAAGGAGCAGAGAGACCCAAGAAAGCCTTGTTTGAATTGTAGTAATGCAAGAATTTTAATGAACAAAATAGAATGTGTATCTGTATTTTCAGAAAGTGTAGTGTACATGTCTGATTCCAGAGCTGGATAGCAAGCCGCCAGGCAGGCAAGAGGGCCATTGATAAAGTCTTTTGTGACCCGAGAGTGCCTCGTGTGATCTCTCTTGGTCCAAAGCAGAGGGAAGAGAAATTGATGTTTATTTTTGACCTGAATCACTTTAGTGGTCTTTTTTTATTGCATGATTCTATAACTGGCAATAACAGTACAATAGCCACATTTATACAGTTTCCTTAATCCAGGGTAAATCTATATTTTTGCTGAAAAATTCCACCCAGGAATTGGCGGTAGAGTTAATGTAAGTGACAGGATCATGGAGCTGGCAGCAGGGTCTTAATGTTTTGGTGGTTCCCCATGTTTTGTAGAACAGTAGTCACAGCATCTGATATCCTGGTTTGGTTTTTGCTTGCACATCTGTTCCTGCAGCTGTGCAGTGAACTGATGAGGAAAAAAAAACCAGGCTGACTCCAAGTCCAATCAATTTCTCCAAACCTCTCAACTGTACAAATATGCCTGCTGGCCCAATGGAAGGGGCAGGAGTATTCCCTACAGTAGTGGTGCTGAGTGCGCAAACTAAAAGTGTCCATGAAACTGTAGCTATTATGAGCCTTTTAACAGATACATATCACTAATAGATCTGTGCCTCTGCCCCTTGTGTTTGAAAGTGCAGCTTTTCTACTAAGAGACCACCAAACTTTGATGCTCTTGCTCATAAAATTGAAATGGAGCTCCAGCATATTCTTTCTGTTCAAAAATGTTTCCCATTAGGTACTTTGAGGTCTGATTGATTTAAAAAACTTTTTAAACAATCATTTTCCTGTAAGCCAAGATTACTGTAAATCTCAATCTTACACTGTTTCCAGAAATGGTTGGATAACAGCAGATGGTTCATCTTTCACCGTATTATTCCTTTATGTTGGAATAATCTGATAACGTTTGGAAGTGCCATGAATTCTTTAGTGCACAATTGTGAAAATAATGTGACACATTAATTATATATTTCAGGGAAGCTTTTTCTTTGATGTGTGTTAATATCCTTGGGAGTCACACAAGATTTTTATTGAGCTGTTATCTCACACTATGGCATTTATAGTTCAGATTGTTGGGGTTTTTTCTTTTTTTTCAATTGCAGAAATTACCCATAAAAATCAGCCATCACTAAAGCCTTTACAAATGATCCTTTGAGGAGCAAATGGATGTTGAGGCATTTCTTCTGTGGCAGTGGTGGCACAAGCAGCCTCAGTAACTCTTTCCTGTGCCATTCTTTCAGTTGTGTCAGTACAACTGATTGTGGAACGGTAGTGAACCTCAAATTAGGGAAATTTATTTTCCTATGTAGGAAACATTTGGCAAAAATTATGTCATTGTTAACAATGGTATCCCTGTGTCTGATGTGCGAGTGACAGTTAAGAGGCTTTAAGAGAAGCCCTAGGGGTTTGTAATTAGTAAGTTGGATAGAAAGGCTTACAGAGTTACTGAGGCACATAAAAGAAAAAAGGAGAAACCAATGACAGTAGAACTTTGTATAGGGGAGCTTAAAATGATAGCTTTGTTTCAGTGCCTGCAGGAAAAACCTGGTTAAAGAAGGATTTTCTGCAGCCCTTGGTTGACAATTTTTAGATGAGGGAAATGCTATGTTGTTTGTTCAACATGCATTAAATACAGAAAAGTATCAGAGGTTTTAATAATAACTTTTGCTTTTATAACTTAAAAATTGTAGAGGTGTGAATTTTTATTTTTTTTTCCTTTTTTGAAGGGTGATTTTTTTTTAAAAAGGGGGTCAAGGTATCCTGTGAGGAACTATTGATTTTTATTAGGTACAGAATTGTTTGCAGAACCTTATGCTGCTGTTCATTAACAAACATGCAGAAAGCTGGAGCCCCCAGTTTCACATGACATACCTGAAGGTCAGCTAAAGCAAGTATGAGACAATGTGTTCACTTCTAGTTTAAGAGCGGTAACAAAACAAAAAACCTCACTCCTCGAAAAAGCTGAGGGCTTGTCACTCTGAGCTATCATTTTGATAATGTTTGCAACCATGACTTCAATAATTTCCCAAAGTATAAGCTTTGAATGTGCCTGTAAAATGTCAGAGGTTCTCTTTCAAGCGTTGAAATGCTGGTGTGGGTTATATCCCAATTTAAGCTGGGCTAAAGGAGCCCCACGTTTAAAATCTGTGTGTGTGCATTGATAGCGCATTGAAATGATACTAAAGTAAGCACTGAAAAATGTTTAGGCATCAGTTTAAGCAACTGTTGAATTGTAATATTCAAAACTTTCCTGTCTCCCAGATTCAGAGAAATAGCAGGGGCCTTAGAAGAAGCACTTTCAGATACACTAGAGGAAGCACCAGGTAAACTTTTATTGCAAAAAATATTTTCTCTACTGTGAAGTGATGAGTGGTATAAGTAGCAGTGGTTATTGCCTGTCTGTTCGTGTTCAGTAATGTGCATCCTGTGGTTCACATGAGCTTTCTGATTAACTGATTAAACAGTACAATACCTGTTTATAAGGTGGCAATATGAGAGTACTGTTCAGTGGCCACTTTAATTACTATAAACACCCCTTTTGTCAGCAGTCATTAACATACTTATGGAACCATCCCCTGAGTGCAAGAGGCAACGAAATTAGCATTTGACATCCCCTAACTGGCAACCGAAAGGCTTTGCTGTGTCATTGGAGCTATTTCTCTTAATTGCTGTAGCACTATGTAGAGGCAAAAATGGCTCTCTGTTGGCAGTATTTAGGCTTACCTTGGTTTGTAGTCTTGGTGTCTGCTCCAAAAACATTACGTTGATTTATGAGCAGATGAGGAGCTATGAGCAAGAAGAGTTAGAGTGGAAGGGGAAACATGGTATATTCATTAGAAGTATATTGTAGTCAGAGAAACTCACTTTAGTTAACAGAGTAAATACTTACCAGCAAGGCATCTAAGAACCACATAAATATCTGTGTGTGTGTGTGTGTGTGTGTGTGTATACAGAAGAGAACAAGGAGAAAAAAATCTAATGGAGACAAAATGGATAGATGTTACCACTTTCACGCGTAGGCCTGGAACTTGCAGACACATCCCTTAGCTTTCTAATTGTATGCTATGAAATATTACTGTGTGAACTGCTTTAAAAGTCTTTGGTTTAAATATGGATATTCCTACTTTGTTTTAAATATTTATAGCAGATATATACCTCTGAGAGAAGCAGTAGTTTAGTGCTGATGGAGTATTATGCTATGGCTGGCAGGCATATCTGATATAACTTCTTCATAAGACAGCCATAAAATATCATGGAAATATTATCTCCTGAAGCGGATTATTTGGCCAAGCTGTTCCTGCCTTTGTCACAGGCATATTCTCATTTGTTGCTTTTGCCTGCATAGCTACAGCAAGACTTAGAATTTGAAATCTAAAGCATTGAGGAGCTAAAATTCTAAGAGTTTGTTTCAGACAATGCATAATTTATCTCTTTATGATTGTATCTCTTTGGAATACTTTTTTTTTTAAAAACCTCAGATAATGTGATTACACGGGTGTTACAGCTCAGGAACTTGATGTTTGTTGTCTGTTCCTAGCCGGCAGCTCATACTGTCTTTTGGCCACTCACATGGTCTGGATGAGCCTTCTGAAGTGCTGGTCAGATCAGATGTTTTTACCGTTATTAGCACACCGTCTCTGGAAACTCAGCCTGCAGATTTTGGCACGCTACTCTGTGTTTGTCACTGAGGTAAGAGAACACCATGTTTATGGTGTTGGTGGTTGGGTGTGTCCATCAGTAAGAGACCTCATGAAACTAAGTTGGTGACCTCCTTTTATTTAAGTGTTGGGGGGGGTTTCTAAACTTCACATTCTTTAACGCTTTCCACCAGTTGGTGAGTTTGGTTTATAAAAAGTATCCAGCAAAATACATGATTCACCAAAATATCAGTACTGCTGCAGTGTCACTGTCTGATGCTTGCCAAGGCTGTACTTCCATATATGCTTAATGCTGCTTCCACCACTGAAAGAAGTAGTCCTGGTTTTCTTCTGTTTGTGTAAGTGTTTACTTGTTGATACAGTGAAGGAGGTTGTGAAACTGAGCCAGGTGAAAAATAATGCTGCAAATAAAAATACAGATCAGTTGCTCAGTGTTGAGAATGTAAAACCAGAAGTTTCTTGATGCAGGAGAGATCATTTTGCTCTTCGACTCCGTACTCCCAGCCATACAAGTTTGCCCGTGTTTCTTGTGTCACAGAAAGACAGCACAATAGAGTAATTTGGATTTGAAGAGATTTCTGGAGGTCATCTGGTCCCGATTCCTGCTCAAAACAGGGCCAGCTTAGATGAGGTTGTGCAGAGCCTCTTCAAGTTGAATTTTGAGTATATGCAGAGATGGTGATTTTGCTCCTCTTTGAGAACTCTGACCTAATGACTGATCACTTTTTCCTCCTGTTTGATCTGAATTTCCCTCACTACAGTACATATCCGTGGCCTCTTACTCTCTCACTGTACCTCAAGCTAATAGCTGGTTCCATCTTCTCTATATATGCCCCTTAGGTAGTTGAAGACAGCAGTAAGGTCTTCCTTTATCATTTTTTTTTGTGACTCAGTGACTTAGTTCTGTCAGCTAAATTAGCTCATGAAAGGCATTGATAAGTACCAGAGTTAAAAGAGAGTAGTGGAGTGAAGCACGTGCCTGGCAGCAGAGAGCTTGATGAGGTGGGAGAAAGGAGTTCTTAGACAGTAGTGAGTGGATTCCACTGGATTTTGCATTTCAGCATACAAAAATTAAATGTGTTTCTGCGAAGCAGATAATGATCAAATTTTTGGTCTTGCACATACCTCCAGTGCAGCAGTGCAGTAGTTCTTTTGCACATCATACAGGTGAAAATTGCTGTAGGACTGGACTGCCCTCTACTATAGTGACAGATTTGCTCCAAATCATCCAACTTTGTAGTGCACAGAAATGTTTCTTATAAAAATACTGGGTTTTGCATAATTTAGGAATGCAAATATCCATTCAAAGTGTGGCATTCTACTGCTGAGAACTTACCAGTCCTTTTATATACTGTTTCAATTTGTCCAAGTTTAACTGCCTTCACTATTGCTATGGTTCACATTTCAGTTTGATGTTTCAGGTTTCTCTAAGGCCCATTTCCAGTGAGAATATGAAGGAAAGCAAAAAACCTGTGCCAGTAGGTAGAAAGGAACCTTCTGTAAGCCTCAGCCCTAGTGAAGACCAAGGGAATGGGTCTTCTCCAGAAAGTCAGCCATTGTCTTCTATATCTAGTACTCAGCTGGTGTATGTTGCTGCAGATCTGGACAAACTCCAGGATCAGGTTTGTGCTTGTGGCTTTCGTTACAAAAGAGTCTTCATTGATATTTGGCATCTTGTTAAGGGCATTAAAAATGTACCATGAAGTTATTTTTTAATCTTAAATGCTAAAACTCGGGCGGTCTGATATAGAAAATATCACCTCAAATAAATGGTTCAGTGCAAAGTTTCACTCTTGACAGTCATACCTTTGCTAGTTAAGTCTCTGTTGCAGCTTGGAGTGTGGTGCAGCATTCAGCTTTAATGTTAGGTTCTTTTTAAATGTTCACTGGTTTTAGTCTTCGAGGTTGAAAAAGCTTTTATCATTCTGATAAATTGATCCAGAATCATGAAAATAAGAGATGTATTAATTTTCTTCTAGTAGAGACAAATTCTCTGTATTTTTAGTCAATAATGATGAAATTTCTGTAATATGTGAACTTGTAAGTTGCAGGTGGATTTCATTAATTCTAAATTATTTCCTCTGGGAACAATAGCAAGGTAGAGGATTTAGTGTGTAGGCATAAATTCCTGTGCAGGATGTAGCTAAAGTAATTAACATGTTTATAACATGGGTATATAACTTTTGGGTTGTTGTTGGTTTGGGTTTTTTTCAGATTCCTGACATCTTGGACATGATTAAACCAAAGCTTGAAATGATTGGCTTCAAGAATGTTTCTTGTATTGCAGGTAAAGCTGAGAGGCTCTTTCCTCTTTCTTCCAAATTCCCTCTGCTAACCAAAGGAAATCAGCTTTTACACTGTTTTATTATTTACAGTGAGAATTTGAAAATAGGAGTGTGTTTATTACTTAGTGAAACTTCCTTTATGTTTAAATTGTTAAATAGAAGCTATCTCGGACAGACGTGTTGAGTCTGCAAAATGTTTAACAATGAAAATTGAGTGAGGCTGAAGTGCTCTTAGGATTCTTCTCCAGAAGGTGAGGACCTTATACTAGAAGATTCATATAATATATTTAAATTCCTACTTGTAAAAGAAATTGGGAAGAGGCAAGTAAAGAGTTTCCATTATCCAGGTGGTACTAAAATACTTTTCTAAAATGGTTGTTCTCTCTCAGGCCTGACAACTCTCTAACATGAGTCATCGAAGTATTGCAGTTAAATACCTAAACTTCAGAGGACAAAAGCAATGAAGTATTTTAGCCTCTTTTTTTGTGTTTTGGTTTAGGTTTGGGATGTTGGGTTTTTTTGTTGTCTGGTTTGTTTTTCATCTGATCATTCTTTATGTGAAATATGGAGTCTGATTTTAATTTAGCTTGACATGTAGCTGCATGAGTGAACTAGTCCATGTCTTCAAGTATAGCCAGAAGTTCTGCATCATAAATTCCACTTAAATCTCTAAGTCAGAATCATTGGTAGATGTCCAAGTCTATAGGAGCTTGTGCACATGCCCCACTCAGATGGTTTGTTGTCAGCTTTGAGTTGAGCATGTTCCGGCCATTCCATAGGGAATTTAGAGAGAAATAATTTCACAAGGACAGGTTCCCTGGAAGGTTGGAGCCTTTTGATTCAAGTCCCTTGCTTTACTGGTAGTACTGAAAAACGAGTGAACCTTGAGAATGTTGCTTTACCCCCTTTTTTGTTCCTTCCCTCCATCTGTGTTTCTGACTGAGGAATGGTTGGTGTTACTGGTGATGTTTTATACACGGCTGATGTGTATTCATTTAGTAAGCCTCTCCTGTATTTGACACCAGATGGTGAGTGAGATTGGGATGATGAGAGGGTTTGCATGATTTATGTTGTGACTGGGCAGGGTAGGTCAGTCTAAACTTTAGCATTTTTACTTCAATAGGAGCCTTGGAAGACTCAAAGGCTTCTCTGTCAGCCTGCATGCCTACCTTGAATAACAGGATTATCCAGGATCTCAGTGAGTCCTCCTTCACGTACCTGAAGAGTGCATTGGAAGTTCCAAGATTGTATAGGAGAACCAACAAGGTCAGTGCTGGCTGCAGATGAAAAAATAAATCTCAGAAAGGCCTTTGCTAAGATTGTTATGAGTTCTTCAGGCCTGGCCGTATCTGCTTGACAGTCAGGAGCCATTTTAAATACTTTGAGATAACTTAGGGATTTATTCTTTGCTTCACTGTGAAGGGAAAAACAAATATGGTCTTTTCAAAATTTAAGGTAGGGTGACAATGATGAGAGCACAGGCCTGAGACGGAAGAAAGGGCAAAGAGTAGAACTGTTGATGTGCAAAAGAAGAAGGATTAATGGGGATAAGTGTGTTCCCCTTATGTCACAGCATATACTGTAAGGTGCAGTGTTGTTGAGTGCCAGACTTCTTTTAGGAGACTGACACTTGTGCCTGCCATGTCAAAAAACTTCTTCCCAGTGAGCTAGATGCTTGACTTGATTTCAGAAGTATCTTGCACAGAAAGAACTAGATGAGAATGGCTAATCCCTGGAGAGATGAAGCACTCTGCAACCAAAACTAGCTGAGAAGAAGATACTGAGGGCATATTATCCCAAAAGCATTCTTCTGGAAAATGTGGTGAGGGAGCAGAGTGGTATAAGAACAGAAGGAACAACGTCTTCAGTTTAGTGAAGTATAATATGAAACAGTAGGTAGTTTAACAAAGATATGAGTCTGTTGTGGGTATTGAGTCTGTTCAGCTTTCTCTGGAAACAGCATGAGCAGAAAAAGCATTGAGGATCATACCTTGATAATGGGAGTGGCTGGCATATGCATCTCTCAGAAAGCTTTGGTCATTTTTAACCTTGTTCTGTATTATATCACACTGTATAACACTGCTGAATGATGGTGTCTTTCCTATGTATAGTGACCTCTTCATTGATTTGTCCGGAATGGAGGTTGTATCTTTTTCCTTAGGTGCAGGCTTAGCATTTTATATATGTGCTGGAATTTGGTGTTGATACTTTCAGTAAGTAAATTACTGGTTCTTTCTTCCCCACCTTCTGTCCCTGTCATCTACCAGGAGGTGCCAACTAAAGCTTCACCTTATGTTGACAGTGCTCTTAAGCCCTTCTACCGACTTCAGAACGAATACAAAGATACCTTGAAGCAGTCCATGGTTCATCAGTGGTTGGAAGGTGCTCTCTCTGAAAGCACACAAAGGTAAGAAAACCAAATAGAATAGTCTTCACTCTAATTAAAAACTCCAGTATCCATTGAATGGGCACAGGAAGAAACCAAAATGCTATGAATGAACTCAGGTGTAAAGAAAACAAGAATATACCATTCTTTTGGTGTGGTCTGTTTCTTCAGATTTATTCTGGTGTTGTGTATTAAGCATATGAAAAGCTGAGCAGGGAATGCAGAGACCTGCCTTCTGCTCAGATCTCTGCAAACTGTGACATCGTGGATAGGGCATTTAAAAATTGTTTAGCTCTAGTAATGCAACAGTGAACTAAAAATTTGCATTTTGTTTCAGAAATGATATAAGACCTTAACCTCCAGTTATTTTCAATGAACATGGTTGACACCACTCTAAGTAGCTGTTCTGTAGCTCCTTGGACCCAACCAGATATTGTGCCCCCCCCCCCAAAAAAAAAAAGCAGCTACTCACTTTCCATGTTAAAGTTGCCAAAACTGACTTAAGTTTTAGGTTAAACACAATGACAGTGGTTAAACACCAGTAAGATTGGCAGGTTAATTTGTTCATTCCTTAGAATTTTCTGTTGAATTCTGTTTTCATGACTTGCTGTTACTATTTTTATCAGTTTGTTTTAAAATGTCTTATCCTTACTGACAAGGGATGAGACAAGGAAAGTGAATTTATTAAATAGAGGAACATTGTAGTTTCTGTATTGAGAATACAGATACAAGTAATTAATTTCCTGCTGCGACAATATATTCTTGCATCCAAATGATAAAACTAGAAAAGAGCATAAACTGGTTAAAAATCACTGGGGGCTACTTAAAGCATATGCTTAAATGGCAGAAGAACTTGGCAGTATAGCAGAAGTGGGAAGTCACAAGTGAGTGGGACTAAGAAATACCAAGATATGAAAAGAGAACACGTTTGACTTTTATAGGAATATTTTTACTTTTCATAGAATGGTATCTTGAAACAGTTTCCATGGCAGTGGCAAGCACTTTTTCTTCAGTGATGATCCTTTAAAAAACCTTGCCTGCTTTCTGTTGTCTCCTTGTTTAAAAGTAAGCAACTTTTCAACTTCCTTAATTCTTGCATAGAATTTCATGGTTTTCATAGAGAAGCTCTTTGAAAGTTACAGGTTTTAGCAAATTGTAGAACACAGCTCTATCTGGTCACTTCTCCTATGGATCCTCTAATTTCCCACTGTTGCTCTATTTTCTCCTCTTAGCTATTCTTAACAACTCACTGTCCTGGGCATCTGCTGATTATTATGATATTATGCCCTTCCCATTTAGGCATGGGATTTCAGTCTTTTCAACTTCAGGGATTTCAGCTTCTGTTGATTAGTTAATATGTTTACTTTGTTTGATTCTATGCTTTCTTTAATGTGGATCCCAGTATGTGGGAAGTGGTGTTTTATTTCATCTCTGCCATTTCTTGTTCAGGATTAGTGTTCTGACCTTTCCTGCCAGCTTCCTGAGCCTCCTGCTTGAATCAGCTTCTTCATTTTAGAAATAGGCATTTCTGACTGGTGTGCGCACGGATGCTCTCATATACACTCCCATAAGTTGCCAAAAAATACATATTTTTTGGTCTCTCGGGCTGTTATTCTTATCCTGTTTGTAGCAGCAATTTTCCTCAGTGTTCTGTTGATTATAGAGGCTGACTTAGACTGCTTAAAATTGAGCACTTGCATTCCTTGGTCACAACTTTAGTACAAACAACTTGAGCAGGTCAAAAATGTTGTGGTGAGAAGGAGCCTTCAAGACTGAATAGTAATCTTCAGATTGACCTCTAGAACTAATGATGGAAGTACTGATGAATTGATAATGATGAAAACATAAGTAGCTTCCTTGCAAGGAAAACCATTCTTCCCAGCCTTGTTCAGCTGTTTTCTCAGGGCCAAGTGATGTACTGCTGTGTGCAAAGTAGGCCTTTCTGTGAAAGTGGAATTGTTTTCTTTCTCGTTATTCTTCCTTAATTTAGGTATTATGAAACTGTATCTGATGTGCTCAGTTCTGTTAAGAAAATGGAAGAGAGCCTAAAAAGGCTGAAGCAAGCCAGAAGAACTGCAACTTCAAACCCTGTTGGTACAAATGGGGGCATGAGTGATGATAACAAAATCCGACTGCAGCTGGCCCTAGACGTTGAGTATTTTAGAGAACAAGTAAGTTATGAGAAACAAGTGGGTTTTATTATTATTACTGGTTTTGGAAAGGAGTGAGATAGAAGAGGAAAGGAAAGCTTGCCTCTGGTTTTAGTCTTGAGAGCTTTGTTGGTGTCGGTTTGGGTTTTTGCTTTGTTTTTTCACATTGGTATAATGGAGGTGACTGGAGATACCACTTGAGCAATGCATGCTTTCCTGCCCTTTCTGAGACATGCAAACTTTGTATTTTTTAGCATTCAAAATTCATTTACTGTGTGGACAGGCCAGAGGGCATGGACTTTCCTTAGGTCTGATAGAAACTTCTTCATGGCACTGCTCCTGTTTGACTTCTCTCAGGGTGTTTCTAGCCTTGACTTGCTGTGTAGTCAAGGGTCTGTTCCCAGGAGCCGTGAAGACTAATGTGATTTGCTGTGCTGTGCAACAGCAAGTTCTTTTCAGTGCCAAATATGAAAGCTTAAAAAACAAAACACATCAAAGAAGAAAATATTCCAGGAAATGTGGGCAGTAGCTGCATCAAATTGTATAAGGACGCTGTTTTGTACTCATGTATTTCTGAAAACCATATATAGAAATAAACAAACTTCCAAGTGCAAATCCATATCATTAGTTGCCAAGCAGTAGTTGTCAGTCTTGTTTATGAGCAGATGCTGTTGATGCATTGTAACAGGTAGATTAAGTCTTCTTGTGTGTGAGCATATGCTTTTCTCAGATATGAGAGTTTATCATGAAGAAGATTTGGGTGGAAGTATGGAAATCTTACTAACAAGAACTATCATTAGTCAGTTTGCCTGGGGTTGAATTTTGTTCTTTTATTCCTATTATGTGCACAAACATCACTGCAGTGTGAATTTAAGCCAAACTGGGATAGATTATTCCTCATTGTTTAGGACATGTTTTGGTACATGTGAATATTACAAATAGTTCCAGCAGCAAACACCTTTTCAGAATCATGTCATTATGGTTCTAGTTAGATCCAGATTTTTCCTTTTCAGTGCACTATTCGTTTTCTCATGGCCATGTTTTTATAATTGTCGGAGCAGTAGATTTCCTGGCTAAGAAATTACTTGCAGCAACCTCTGTGTTTGTTGAGTTGTTTTCATCTCCCAGGAAGTTCAAGGCTAGAACCATAGGCTTTTGCAGCCTATTGAAATGCTTTCATCATCATGCTGCTGGCTCTTCTTGGATGGATTCATGTTTATCTTTAAAGTTTTGCCCAGAAATCTCATTTGGAGTTTGGAAAAAAAATAAATCAGTTGAGATCAATGCATTAAACCCAAATTACAGCCAAGTTTCTCCTTCTGACTGCTTCACTGGAAAACTTCCAACTGGCTTTAGTTACAAGTTGCCTAGAAGATGATGAAGTATTTCCCTGCAAGACACTACATTGACTGGAAAGTCTTAACTGAGCAAAGCTGGATATAAATTTTTTTAGAGTTTGCTCTATATGCATTTGTGGTTTTCTGCTGCACATTGATGCTGGACAAAACATCTGCTTCACTAAAGGTAGAATATAATTAGTGAGCTTTCGATGTTTTAAACAAGATTTAATGGTTTTTTTTCTGTGTCTTTTTAGATACGAAAGATGGGACTGGAAACAAGCAGTATAAAAAGCTTTTCAGCTCTGACAGAGCTGGTTCTAACTGCCAAGGATCAGGCTACAGCAGAACAATCCTAGATACTTTTGAAAGCATGTGATTGAAGATGAGCAATGGCCCTAAAAGGAAGAGAGAAGTTAACTCTTCCTTATTTTACCAAATAAGTATCAATTAAGTGCTTCCTAATGTGTCTCAAGCAACAAATCAGTGTATCTTCTGTCAAGATAGGCTCGTTTCACCAAGAGACTGAGAATTTACCATTGTTTTCCATTATATGGAAAGCAACCAAAAGTTCTAAAATTTCTACTATAGATAAAAGTAGAAGAAAATGTTTTTCTTATTTTTGTTGTACAACTTACGATGTAGAAGAATGAAATTATATGTTGAAAATACTATGTAATAAATTGTCTTCCTAACTTGTGATGTCCCTTATGTTTTTTAATCGAATGTATTCATTGATGGCTGTCAAAAACTTTCAAACTTTATTTAAACTCTTCTGGAATAAAGAAAGTGCTCACAGGAACAGGGTTCTGCTATTTCTCATTACTGATTTGCACTTTTCTGCTTTCTGTCATTGTGCGATATAGTTAGCTCCTCTTTGGGTTTTCAGTGTTTCCATTTTACTAATTTGTATTTTTCATGGACCATGTTGGTGAAAAGTGCTGCATGAAAAAAAAAGCTCAAAAAGCACTTTAAATTTCAAAAATAATTTCTAATGTAAGTATTTAACTTATGGGTGGTTACATTCAGACTGCCTGTTTTCCCTCAAACTAAATTCACTAGGCTGTATTTCTGGTTTGTGTTACATTGTCTGTTAGAACTCATCTGAATACATGTCGAATTCTTGTAACCTCAAACCTAATTACACCAGTACAAGGTGCATCTTTATACAGCAGGAAATTTGTAAGTGTTATTAGGGTTTAAAATGACAGGGGGATTAGCAAAGACCTCACTTGAACCAAGAGTGATCTGGCCATGTGAGGGACTGGTAACACAGCCTGGGGGCAGTAAGAGGCTTTGGAATGAGACAATGTCCTGTGTAGAGCAAAGGAAGGGTTTGTTTGTGTTTTGTTGGGTATTGTTTGGGGGTTTGGTGCTTTTGTTTCAACCCTGTGAAAATTTTAACTGCAGTTCTAGTTCGTGGTAATTAATGAAAAATACCCGTTTCTTCCTGAAGTATTTGGGTCTTAATGAAGGAGCTGAGATGATGCAAGTTTTCCCAGTACTTAGAGATGCAAAGGTTGTACCATGTGGCTGTTATGTAGCATTGAAGCTGCAGTGAGCAGACCACTCATCACATTAAGGCTTTCCTTCCTCACTTTTGGAGAACTAACTGTGTTTCAGTTGAGAAGACACAACTGTGTGATCATGATCCTCTTGAATCAATTAGGATAGGTGGCTGCTATGACATTTCTAAAATAAATTTTATAAAGGAGGGCAGTGGGGAAAGTACTACTGCTTAAAATTATGTGGTTCTTGGATTCACTGTAAGTAATGGGGAGCAGGATTTGGCTTTGCTAATTTGCTTAGCATCTCTCCATTCATGGCAACATACACAACTGAGGGAGCACCCAAATTTATTGCTGAAGCAGGAAACAGCAAAGTGAACCAATTTGCATATGACAGATTTGTCTGTCTCCTTCAGGAACATGGAGATCCTCAGCCTTAGGCCCACACTACTGAATGAACATAACTCCTATTGCTCTTAAACATAAAGCTTGCTGTCTGTATTATATTTTTCCAGGCTTCCAGTTGATGAACCCAGAAAGATTGTTCTCCCCACACCTCTTCATTTGTTTTTAATAAGAGTCAGGAGTAGAGATGTATTGCTCCCACTACCTACTGCTGTTGTCAATGATGTTTCCTTATTATAAAATGGATGTGTAAGTTGTAGCCTGCGACTGAGACTGTTGGAGCAAGTCCAGAGGAGGCCATGAAGTTGCTGAGAGGACTGGAGCATCTCCCCTATGAAGACAGGCTGAGGAAGTTTGGGCTGTTCAGCCTGGAGAAGAGAAGGTTGCATGGAGACCTCATAGCAACTTTTCGATATCTGAAGGGGCTACAGAGGAGCCAGAGAGGGACTCTTTGTTAGGAACTGCCATGATAGGACAAGCGGTAACAGGTTCAATTTGAAGGAGGGGAAGACTAGGTTAGATGTGAAAAAGATACAATAACTGCATCAAAGTAGCAGATTCTGAGTTCTGTGCATACTAGTGATTGAAGATAGAACAGCTTTGTATCCTCCAAAATCAGGGAAAGGGATGCAGTCTGTGTACCAAACCAAAAAGGCATGAAGTGATTACTTGCCCTTTAGTTGCACATGATTTCCCACATCTTCCTGCAATAACAACACTTCGTACTTGTCATCATTAGCTTGCTGAGGATACAGGCTGAATTCTGTTCTTTTCCATTGAGGGCCAGCTTTATTTTCAGGGCAGGAAATAACATTGTATAGCAAATCAAAACTACTGAATGGTCCTATGATTGCAGTTAATGTCTACATCACTGGTTCTGTGTCAGTTCCTCATCTTTTATTTTTGTTCACTTGAACAGCATTTAATTTTCTTTCAGTGGAATATGATATCAGTTTAAAAATTGTGTGATACCCCTGTTGAAAGAAAGAAAAGGTGTGAATTGGTTTTGTCTTTGGTAAAATGAATTTTAGCACATCCAAATATTGTGGATCAATCAGGAGTAGGGGAACTACCATATAAGTAAGTGTGTTCTAGCAGAGATGTCTTCTGCTGCTAATTCTCTTCCTTCTATTCCTTAGATACTTCTTTAAGTGCAATTCATGACAGTAATGCAGACTTGATTTTGTGCCTTTTTCTTCTTCTGTTCTAAGACTTCTAGAACATTTGCTATGCCTTTCTAAGCTTTGTGGTGTAATAGCTTTGAGGAGGAAAAGAGCAGTGGCTTGTAGCTGGATTCTCAAGGTTGTGGGTTACACCAGAAGTGGACCAGATTGTTTTAAGCTAAAGATAACTAGCAGTGTGTATATTTGGCTGGGTCACTCTATATTGAGGAATATTTACTCTCCTTTTTTCATCAACAAATACTGAGCTGCTTCTGCTCAGTATTTAGTTCCCTGTCTCTGCCCTTTCCTGCTTCCTTTTCTACTCCAGGGTGTCAGTGCAGAGATGCTCTCCACCACAAGGGTGTTTTTTTATGAAAAGTGTTTGATTTGGTGGGTAGTGAGTTGGTTGGTTGGTTGGTTGGTCTGCCTGTAACCACTGAACAGGATATGGAGTCCCCAGGCAAAACCTGTGAATAACAGCGTTTTGCCCGGAACTTTCCATCAGTGTGTCCAGGGACTCCTTTTGTTATTCTTCATCTTCATCATAGAAATGAAACATTGCATGGTCTGACATTTTATTTGTAGCTAATGCTACCTTATTACTTCAATGAGTAAATGGGATAATATTTAAATTAGCATGGACTTTTAAATTAGCATGAAGCTGCCTTCTTCATGCTTACAGCTACACCATTGGCTGCACTGCTTGATAATAGGCAACTTCCTGTTTTAAAAACATAAATCTGGCTTGGAACAGATTTCAGAAGCCAGAACAAGGGAAGCAGTTACAGACTTAATCTGAACTGAACTTTGGCAAAGAAACAGAAGTGGGTTTATTTGCATCTTTCCATCTTGCTTCTGTACATAATACAACCACAGTGTTTAGGTGTTAGAGCATCTGAAATACATATAGTATAATCTGATAAATACATGGGTACTGTATCACAGTGGTTGAAATCCTAGTGTTCTTGAGAGCTGTGTTATTTTACAATGTTATGGCATTGTCCATTAAGCTAGAAGGATCTGTGCTCTATCTACATCACCGATAGCGAGCCGCTGGCATTAGTGGGATTAGATTATTTGGGCCACTGTGGATGACAACAAGCTACTCTGCTCTGTAGGATACATCTGGCACCATATGCCAAAGAGGTTTGCAGTTATTTTCTAAACTCCACCAGTGCTAAAGACAAATCTAGAGGTGAGAGGTGGAAATTTTTGTTCCACTGAGAGGATTTCCTTTGTACCAAGGCTTCTCTCCTAATTCCTCACTTCTCAATTCAAGAGTTGTCTCATAATCTGTTGTTCCACTTTAAATTAGTTTCAAACCTTTATGACTCTGTTAAGAGTGGGACTAGACCACTGTAATCTTTTTATTCACAAGTAGCAGCAACACATCCACTGTTTAGAATATATTTTTGCCTTTAATACTATTTTGTAAGAACATATGGTTTGGATATGTTAAAGTTTACAGAACTAGGCTCTAACCAGTAATGTTCTTTTTCAGTACACGGCTGTAATAAATGCCTCACAGGTTAGAAGGTAATCCAAGGAATGGAATTGCTTTAGAACAGTAGGCCTCCCTTTGTTTTTTTCCTACAAAAGCTGGAGAGAATTCTGTCAGGCTCTGAGGATTTATCCATCACAGTTCATTAATGCTACCAAACTCTATTTTTAGCATTTCCATAGAGTTAAGAAATGAACATATCCATCTGGGCTGCGGAAAGAGGAAACTTCCTCTGAGCATGTTTTTGGTTCCAAGGCAAAGAAATGTTGTCACAATGGGACAAGTGAAGCCTGCCTGTGCTGCTGGCAGTGTTTTACAGGAAAATGTTGCTGATGAAACTAGAAATCTCTGTGGAAAATTGCAGAATCTTCGCTGTAATGTATAAGGGGTCTCTCTTGCAAAACCGACCAAGTGAAAAATTAAAAGAATGAAGAGCTCCTTTTTGATACCTTTCTATAGTAAATTCTGCTTGTGCTTATGAAACTTTTTTTTTAAAGTTCATGCCCTGCATTGACACACAGCTTTGCCCCACTGCATCGAAACGGGGAGCTGGGAGCAAAAGGGAGGCAAAGTGAGAATAAAAATAGAAGCTGGAGGAAGAGTTTCAGTCACCTCACGTGAAATAGATGAACAAGGATGAAATGTTGCAATGTTTTAGCTTTCAAAAAGCTGTATTTCAAACATCTAACTGCTTCTTTTCAAAGCTAAGTAGAGCACTCAACACCATCATAGACATAGCTGATGAATAAGAAAAAGGTGGTAGGAAATATGCCTCATTCCCCTCCTTTCTTATCCTCTGTGTTTGTATTTAAACCCTGTGCAAGAGGATTTGTTACTTTGCCAAGGAAAATCATTGCCCTTGACTTATTTTCAAGAACAGCTAAAAGGAACGGCTTGTTCAGCGTTACATCCAGGTACACCCCATCTTCCTTCTGTGCTGCAGGGTCTTCTGCCTGTTCTGTTCCATCACTGGTCAGTTTGAAAGAGACTTTATTTATTACCTGTAAGGCAAAACATAAAAGTTATCAGATAATGACAGTGAAGAGACAAATGAGAGGAAATGACAAAGCACGTGAAGTAATCAATAACTTAGATCAGCTGTAAGCAGCATATTGGACTCCATTGATGTTTAAAGAAGACATTGTGGTACTAGTTCCATAACATGTGAAAAAGCTGTACAAATGCTTGTACACTTGGGTGGTATGTAATCGTCCTACCCTTGTGTCATGCTTTAACCCCAGCCAGCAACTAAGTACCATGCAGCTGCTCACTCATTCCTCCTCACATTTAGCAACAACTAAAACATCAGTGTGTTATCAACACTATTCTCATACTAAATCCAAAACACAGCACTGTACCAGGTACTAAGAAGGAAATTTAACTCCCAGCCAAAACCAGGACACCTTGAAGCCCCTGACAGAACTTCTAAGGTGGGACACCTCCTAAAAATATCATTAAATAAAAGCACTGAAATTACACTTCTGGAACATAATTTGTTTTCTTATCATGAAAGACTGTCCTCTCCTTCAAGCTCTCCCTTCTTCCCCTTGGGACTTGAACTCTGGAGCCTTCTTCAGGTGAGGTTATGGACTGCATGCACCTCTGTGTTTGGGATTTCTGGGAGTAGCCCCTAAGTGATGAAGGACTACCCTTACCAGCCCAGTAGCTGCAGCCTCTACTATGTGCCCTACCTGTTTGAGCTGGAGGTGGTACTGACTGCAGCCTAATTTGTACATACAGGACTTAGCACAGTCAGATTTCAAACACACTGTGTTTGTTGCAGTAATGAAATTTGAATTGTTTAAGGCAAACCTGTGGCTGATGATAAGTTGATCTAAGGAATATTCACATCTTTCAGTCGTATTGAAAAGCCCATACTGACCATGTCCTCCACATGGCTTGGACTGCTTTGTTCTACATGAATTTATTCTGTTTAATATGCAAGTAGCATTTTTTTTATGCCAGTGTTATGTACTGTACCTTTCCAACTGTTAGATTGGTGTTGCTTATTTTACTGAAATCTGCCCCTTTCCCCAGCAGTGCAGGCAGTTCCATATCTGTAAGAAGCTCCTTTAGATCGAAGCTGTCTTCTATTGCTAATGCTGGCAGCGTTAATTTAATTTCTCTGCAGAAAAGAGAGGGAGAGAGAGAGAGGCAAGTGAGTGCTTGTTTTCCACTGTGAAAGCATTGCATTTGGGCAGCCCTGGGGAATGGGCATGTGGAAACAGCTGCAAGAAGTGCTTGGTACGTGGAGACAGACAGCTATTAAGGGCCGATGGGTGCCATGTTACTGTTTCCAAGTGGGAACTCACCCTAACTCCATCCTGGGTACACTGTTAAAACCCCAGATCATCTGACATGGGTCAGCTATGGAAAGGTACATGATTATTTCCTTGAAATACCCACGGATAAAAAGCTGATCCCACCAAGGTCAAGCATCCTTGAAGTGAGGCCCCTGGGTTTGCAGGGGCTTCTCTTTGTGCTTGGTGGCAAACTCTCCCTGGCAGGATCCAACTCCAGGCCTGTGTGGTGCACCCCATCCCCTTCATCCTTACAGGAGGGTGCGACCCACCATCGTGGTGTTGGGTCATAGGTTGGGCTTGATGGTCTTGGAGGTCTTTTCCAACCTGATTGATTCTGTGATTCTGTGCAGGTGCCTGAGCCCTACCTTGGGGACAGCCGCTGCAGCCAGTCTGAGGACGTCAGCTCGGATTCCACATGCTCCAGGTCACTGCCATTGATGGGCTGCAGCAGCATCAGCAGTGCTGTCTGGCTGATGGGGACTTCCACCACAGAGAAGGTCCCACTGGCATCAGTTTTGTACTTAAATGTCCCCGTGACAGACAACATAGGGACCGAGACCTTTGTGTTTGAATCCACCCAGAACTCCTGAGGCTCTTGGAGTTGGAAGGCTTGCTTAACGTTCACTGAAAAACAGATCAAAAAGGAAGAAATTAATTCTCCTCTTTCTTCCCTCCTCTCCTCTGCCCCTTGGCTGGTATATATGTCTGTTTTGAAACAACGTGCTATGCATTAGAGAAAGGCTACATGTATAAAATCACATTTAACTACTGGAAACATATATGTATTCCTTTTAATATGCCTTCTGCTAACATCAGGCTCACAGCCCAGGGAACATGGACCAAAGCTGCCTCATTTCTATCAGCTTTGTGGCCTTTCCTGGGCACAGTGTTTCTGCTTGCTTGGCTGCCTGCATCCTCACAGGCTGCAACAATGGCCCCTTGGGACTCACAGGCCTGTGCAGAGGGTCTGCTTGCTTTCCTCTCCATCCCTCCAGTGGTGGTGATGGTGTGTTTGGGAGCACACCCAGCAGGGCCAGCCCTTGCTGCAGGAGCACACTCAGTCAGCCAGGTGGGCTCAGAGAGGGAAAACAGTACAAGCTCTGCCTGAGATCTCACCCTGCACCACCTTATAAACCAAAGCAATGGGGAAGGTTGTGAGCATAACACCAAAGTGTTGGTTAAGCCAAGGAGGTTGAAAAGGACATATCTGAACATTTGCTAAACCTAAACATAAATTTATTTCCTGGTTCATAAGTGTGGGAAACCTTGCTCTCACCCCCCACTACTTCTGTGCAGCTTTGCACTTTGACATGTTGTCTGCTCACTGCTATAGATCCATGCTGCTGCCCAGTTAGGCAAATAATCCTGTTAGCATTAAGGAAACTGCAGCTGCCAGTGAGAGGGGCAAAGATCAGAAATCTTGAAATTATTTGGTGGCTAATTCCACCAATTAGGAATTAGGACACCAGATGTACATGTTATAGTAAAGAAAGGAACTCCTTACATTAGAGTACTTAATATATTAACTAAAATAGGAGCTGGTCTAGCTGTACTCTTAATTAGTCCATTATCCAGTAAATCCAGATAAATGCTTTACCCTAACATATTTCATATGTAGTAAGAGGTTTTGCATAGGGCAAACACTTGCCTCTTAAACAAGTTTGCATTAAAAGAGCATTTAGGCGCTTTCACCTACTCTAACTTCACCAAAAGAAGCAGCAAGTAGGAAATGGGAAAGGTGTAAGAAAAACAAAGAGTAAGGAAGTAGAATTGTTCACCTCTTTTTTAAGTTTTATTTTATAAGAATTAAGGATGCAAGCAAAAAGCAGAGAGGAGCCACTTTTGCAGTGTCTGTATGACCTGCAGGATGTATTTTCATGGGATAGCAAGAGTCAAGACTGTAACAGAGTTAAATAAAAGGAAAAAAAGTATTGAGCAATCAGATGGCTAAATGTATAAAGATGAGTTAGTAATTGTTTTTAAACAATCTTGGGAAAGATTGCAAAATTTCAAACCTCTGCTGCTGACTTTGTGACTGAGTCCATTAATATTGTGTCAGTTTTGAACAATGACAAATCAGCACCACTGTGTTTGAAATGGCTTCCTGCTAGGTGAGCCCTCAAATGTGTAACTAGGTACATACTCTCCTGAAAGCACGCTAAAAGATGTTAGGAGTCTTACTAGGACTATTTCCTTCTACAGAAGGTGACAGCTGACACACTGGAAGAAATGGTTTCTCACAGTGAGATCTCTCATATCAGGACACAGAAGCTGTGGGTTTGGCAACCGCATTGGAGCAGGGAAGAAACCTGTGTCTACAATCTAGGGAAGATAACTGAGGTGAAATAGACTGTCAGTCACAGAGTGAAGATGTAGCCTGGAAGGGTAAAAGACTGCTCTGCAGTACTGACTTGTAAGTACAGGAAAGAAATGTTGGACTTCTCTGTTTCAGGTGATGATCTCCGTGTTCTGTATACAGGCTTTATGCCAGCCTGACAAACTTATTGAGAGGATGACTTTCTGTGGAAAGCTATGACTTTCTACTTACAAGGGAAAAAACAGCAAAAAGCATCCTAAAAAATTTCTATTTGAAAATGAAGTTGTTGAGGATTGTCTGTTCAAGAGAATTGAGGTAAGATTGTGCAGTCCCACAGTGCTATTTTAATACCCTGCTTTGTAATTACGTTGCAACTAAAACAAAAAAAGAAATGCTATGAAGTCTCTCAGTGAAACCTGCACGTGATATTCTGCATTGGATTCTAAACTGCAGCCCCTGCTCAGCAGCAAATCTATAAATATGGGAAAAAACATGCAAGTGAACAACAGTTGAGGCCACTGGAACATTTATCTGCTGTTTTGAATGGATTTCTGTCATGATATCGATGCTATGGCTGTTAACAGCATCTCAGGAGCACATATAAAGTTTAATACTCAAAAAAATACTTGTCTTTTTGCACCTATAGGGACAGACATCAGCTGTCATGGTTGCCCCTTCATGACCAAATGGCAAAGCAGATGCTGAAAAAATCTACTGTGTTTTGTAGAAGAGAGTTGCTTATTTAATACATTTGTTCTTGAGTCAATTTTCTCCATCCCCTATGTGGAGGCTGCAACAGCTCAAGTGCACCATTCTAAGAGAGAGGAGGTAGGAGGGCTGACCCAGTCTCTCAGACCCTTGAGCTTTTGTTCCCAAGCTAATAAAGATGACAAGTTTCCAATATGGAAGAAGAGAAATAAATGGTTTTGCTAAAGGAAAACTGTTCTTGTGACCATGCCCGAGTCTGTAACACAATTACTTTTGCAGTATCATCTCTATGCTAGACCTTACGACTGCAGAGAAAGCTCCCTTAGTTGATGGGATCAGCTAATGATAGCACCCATGAAAGGCAAAGAAAACCTGACATAAATTTAGAGGTGGGAAGATAGAGACACACAAGGATTTCAAGGGCACTACGACTCCACCTTTGACACTAGAGACCCACTCAAAAACATAAGGCACACAGCAAGTTTTATGAAATACTGTCATGGGTAGGCAAGCTGTCTAAAGCATGCAGTCCCTGGTATTGCATTCAGTCACAAGCTACACTCAGAAGAGAAGACTCAGTTGTAGTGCAGGGGGATTTTTGGGACAGCAGCATGGAATGACCCTAGGTAATTAAGAGATTCCCTTAATTTTTCAAGATTTGTACATGCTCCCCTGCTTCCCTAACTGATAGCTTGTTTGGCTTCTGGCTTCTTTGAGCCACACATTGCATCCAGACACCTATGTTTAATAACCATTAGAGGAGCCACATCCTTGCATTTTTAGCCTTTCTTGTATCTGTACCTCTAGCCTGCTAGCCTCAGCTCCCTTGTGGAAATACAGGTTCCGGGGAAATGTATTTCTCTGGCTTCCTTTAAAGCTACTTCCTGATTACTCTTGCCAGAGGCCCCTCATGACTTTTAGTTCCTTTGTAGTCAGAAATGCTGTGCAACTCTCTCTCATGTACCTTCCCACACCTTTGCTAATCCTTAGCTTCCTGGACAAGGAGGTCAACTCTCTCCATCTCCTTCCCATTGCCCTTGCTGGCTCATGGCAGAGTGCAGGCAGGACCACCAGAGCAATGGTCCAACCTTTCATTTGAGCCCTTCCCTTTCACCACTGCCAGGTGTGACCTTGCTTCCCTCCTGGCAGCAAGGCCACTGCCCATCCTTCACCCAGCCTGCTCCCAAAACCAGCAGTGCTGCCTCATACCTGCCAAGCAGATGTCCACTGCAAACAGCAGGTCAGTGGATGGATCGATGTCTGTCAGTAAGCACTTGCTTTGGCCCTCGCTTTTGGCCTCCACAAAGGCATCAATTTGTTTTACTGCCTCACTTGGATTTGTAAAGTCAACAGCTCGGGCATAGAAGGCATCAGTGGAGTGGAGCAAGTCCTGCAGGAACAGATCAAATAGAGGTATGCCAGGGGCAGAGAACAGGCAGAGTGTCTTGGAAAAGAGCAGCTCCTTGTCACTGCTCTTCACAAGGCTTTCGATTGTCCTCAGGCTGGAAAGGAAATGGCTTCCAACAGCCCTGGAAGTGCAGTCAGGGTTCCCAGATGGGGGCACAAATCCCAACAAACCCTGCAAATCAACTGCTGTCTGGTTTGAGGCACCCAGGTAGAAAGACACCAAGGAGCTGTAAAGACTGGTTGGGGACAGGAGCACATTTTGACCCTGCTGCACTTTCTGCAGCATGCTGTAAAACCGCACACCCAGGATGGACACAAAGTTCTTCATGTAGCTTGGTTCCTCCTTGCCCCAGCCAGTCAGGCTCGGGTCTTCTGACTTGTCCCTGTCATCTTCGTAGGCAGGTGTGGTTTGGGACTCAATGGAGGCAGGAAAAATAGTTTTTGTCTTTCCCTCCTGGACCAATTTTTCCAGCTTGTCACAGTCACTCTCATTGAAAGAAAACAAGTTGAAAGGGTGGACGTAGACCCGGTCACAAGTCACCACGGTAAGGCAAGCCAACATACAGAGAAGATCTGCTACCAGATTCATGTTGAAAAATTGCCTCCACAGTGTCTGCTGAAAGAAAAAGTGGGGAGGAAAGAAGACTGGTCAGATTGTTCAAAGTGAAGTCTCTCTTACTCATGGGGTAAGGCAACAGTGCTCTTTTGGAGTTACAAAGGCAGGAATTTCAGTATTAAGTGGTGGCTGGTCTGACTCTGCTCCCTGAAAAGCCCAGGATGAGATGCCTACTAGTATCAATGGTGGCAGGTGGGGACATGCTAAGCACAGATGCGACTCCATTACTCACTTCAGTACCCTAACAGTTTAGCATAGGAAACAATATGGTTGTACAAACTGGTTAGGCTACAAACTAGAACGTGCAAGTTCTGCAAAACATTATAAGAATGCAGCGACATTGTTCCTGGGACCTGGTCAGGGCTAGCCCTTCAAACTGCTGCACTGAGTCTTGCTGACACATGGAGGGATAAGTGATTTGCCTGCTGTTATGTGGGAAGTGGGTTTGGAAACCAGTTCTCTTAAGGTCGGACGACAGAACAATCCTGCTTTGTATGTCTAGTCAGCAAAATACTTGGCACTATCAGAGCATGTTATGTTTTCATAGCCCAGTGCAAACATTCATTCTAGCTTCTAGGCAAACATGCTCCAGGCTCCCTGATACAAATGTGCTAGCACTGAATCCATTTTCATGGCACCTTCCACATCTGAATACAGAGTTAGAAGGGGTAAAGTGAGTTTTACTCTGCTGTACAGGCACTCTTCTTCTGTGGTATAAGACCACCTGCTGCTCTTGTTTTTCCTGAGAAGCAGAGAATTTTACTGCATGTGGATGCCATTGGTGTTTTGGCAAAAAAGATGTAGGGCCTATTGGGAATGAGAAAGTCATGGGCACATATACCTACACACACATGCATAGATACATATGTGCAAACCCACTGATAATTTTAGAATTCTCACTTTTCCTATATGCAAATTTTTAATAACTAATAGCTCTGCTATACCTTCCCTGGGTTTCTAGGATATGACTTTGAATTTGTGTGTTTGAAGTCTAAATGTGTTGAAAATTATCCATCTGTAACACTTATCATGGGCCAAATGCTGTTATTTAGGGCTGAATTTTTATTCTACTAGTAATTTCTTGTTTATTGTAGCTCTGTTCACCCTCTTTCACGCTTTCCAAGCTCTGCAGATCTTATTCAATGGGCAAAATGCTATCAGCCTTGCCAGTACCCAAGCTCTGCTCTCTGTTTTCTTTCTCCAAGACTTTTTGAGCCATGCCAGTCTGTCAGATACTGTAATTCTGGTAGCCTGAGCCTTTTGAGAGGATACAGAGCAATGCCTGTCTCACCAACATTTTAATTTACATGGGGTGGAAGTGTTTGGGTATAAATGCAGCGAGTCAAGACCTTCCCAGCCTGATTTACAATGTATGACCATATTCATTCCCCCAGGGGTCTCCGAGTGTTTCATGCCAAACAATACTCCAGTCTACAGTATCACCACTTGCACATACTAAAACTGAAATGTACAGATACTTGGTAACTAGACATACCTTGCTAAGTACATACACCTGCTAACATGCACATCTCCATTCCCAGGCTGCAGCCTCCTAACTAACAGCCAGCACTCAGCCCCATCTGTGGAAAGTCAGCATGGTTTACGTCCCTAAAGAAGGGACGTCCCTGAGCCCTTCAGAAAAGCATGAACATCTGAGCTGTAAAACTAGCATTCAAAGCAAATCCAGGAAGAGTGCTTACTCACATCTGTCCTGGTGTGTGTTGCCCCTCTGTCACCCTCTGTCGCTGTTACCCTCCAGGTGAGCTCTTCACGATACCTCTTCCCTGGGGTGATGTGATTGTAAGTGGATTTATGCCCTTCCTACCTGGAAGGCCCTTCCTACAGGTCTGCAGCAGCATTGCGCAAAGCTACTTTACATCACAGCCTGGGGGGCTGAGAGAAGTGAGCTCAGGCCAGACAGGACCCAATAAAACCTGAGCCTAGCTTAACACCAGCTGCATAGAAAGTTCCAAGGATGGATACACAACCTTTAACCAGACCCAGCACATCTGTGTAGCCTGCAGTTACACATTTACTAAGACAGAAACAGCCATTTTACTATGCAGAATAACTGATTATAGCAGCTGAAAATAGATCATTTTGAGCCAGACTGAAAGGAATGCAAATGTCTTTGTATTATATTTGTTGTACTGTCGGACCAGAATTTTGTCTTCTTGGATAAATCACCTTTAATCTCTACCTTGCAGCCTGAGTACTCATCAGTTAGTGGGGCATGTATGCTACTGCAGAGTAAAATGATTAAGCTCTCAATTTTTACCCTTTATTTCCCTCTTGATCTTTCCAGAAGATCAAACCTTTGTTCTTTTTCCTGTTCAAAACAAAACCTGTTGAAAAGGAGAAGATGAAAGCCAGATAGATGAGGTTGCCAAGCTGGATCACAGTGACTTCAGCCCTCCCAGTCTCTGCCTCCCAAGTCCTATTTGGCACAAGGGGTGGGATTTGGAGATTTTTCTGCTGCTTTTGAAACTATCTTCCAGTTTTGGTGTGCCCCTTCTTCCTCTTTAAGCAAATAAAGAGTGAATGATGCAGTTGGCTAGACTGGATCTGGTTCAATGTCTCCTGTTATACTTAGTAATTAAAATCCCAGGACTCTAACAGGAATAGAGCTGATTTATCATCTGTACTTTGATTTTTGAGGGTCAGTCAGGTGTTATTTGTATTGCAGTGCCTAGTTACATGTTGGGTTCAAGGAGAGAGCCGAGAGGGAGAGATTTTTTCAGTGCAGCTGGGAGTTGGAGCTGTTGGAGATTAAGATGGAAACAGGGACAGCTGAGTCCTGCCAGTCCCAGGGCTGTGTGCCGGGTGCCTAACACCAAAGAGATGGGAAATTTCTGACTCTGCAGTCCTGCTTTTCATTTAAACAATACCTTCACTCTAATGAGGTCTGAGAGCAGTTCTGAGCCCAGGGTTTTATGACATGCTAACTGAAGGCTTAAACAAACAGCTTGACATATTCAAGGTGTTTTGTCCTCTTGCTGCCTGAGCATCTCAGTCAAGGAAGCATCTGGCCATGGAACAGTCCCTGAGCATTTGTACCATCTCCAGATAGCTATAAAATGCATTCAGCCCAGCTACAGATACAGACAATGGGAGTAGTTCCTCCTTGAAAAATGCATTTTGTTCATCTAAATGCTAAGAGAAGAAGCTGGAGTTCAGCTTGCAATCCCCCTTCTTTCCCCTCTCAGCTGTAGAGTCCTCCCTGCAGGCTGTGGGGAGATAGCTGGTCCCTTAGAGGCACAGGTGGGATGTGAGTACAGCTCAAATCCTTCTCCTGCACCACCACCCATGCATGTCCATATGAGGCACTAGGCATTGACAGTGTGCACAAGAGTCCAGACCACGCCGTGCCTGTGAGATATAGCTGGTCTACTGTCTCCTCCTAGATGAGGCTTGAACACAGGGAAAAAGTGAACCCAGCCTGAATAGCTCAGTATTGAGTACACACAAACAAAGGCTGTTTCAGTGAAGAACACCTTGTATTCAGTAAAATTCTGAAAAGTATCCTTATTAACAAGAACTATTGGCTTTGGCTCATAAGCTACGAGTGATGCTAATAGCATATAGTACAGCTGCCAGACCTACACATTTGCTGTGTATAATAAACACTGGAAGGGGAAATCAAAAAATTCACATCCACTGTATTTTAATTTTTTTTTTTGCTTAAATCATTATGTGCTGTAGCACCCAGAGGGCAGTGGTGTTTGGGTATCTCTTGCTTCCAGCTTCCGTGCAGGTCATGACCAAGCTGTGCTGCAGCTGGTGGTCTCTTTTGCAATAGATACTAGCCCCAAATCAGGCAACCCTGGCTGCAGGGGATGCTGCCCTGAAGAGGGGGTGCAAGAGGCACAAGAACAATAATGCCAGCATGGTGGTCTGGTGGCTGTGTCACATAAAATTTAGTTTAGTTGAACGTTCTCAGGGGTTTTTGCCAAGTTGACCCTTGAGTCTCTTGGTATTTGTGCACTCAGTTCTATTGTTTTCTGTCAATAAAAAAAAATTGTCAGTGTTTTTGAGGAGCAGATAAGTCTATCTCCCTCTCCCTCCTCCCAGATCAATAAAGTAATCACATTAAAATACCCAGATTTCTCCAGAGAAAAAGTATCACTAGGAAATGTTCAATAACCTCAGTACACCACAGTGCTCCTCCTGCTTCAGACCACCAGGAATTTGCCTGGCCTCAGTAATGAGGGAGACCCTTTGATTTCACCTTATGTTCATGGCCCTACTACAAAGCTCAGACACATCTGCCCTTCATTTGCCAATCACTTATGCTCACTGAATTAATATTCCCCTATTAAGATGCATCACACACTAGCACACTTTTAGATCTTTGCCTTTTATCTTCTAACAGTTCCTTCTAAAGAAGAAGGATTCAGACATTGAAGAACACAGCCTGCCACACCTGCAACATACTTTATCCAAGTAGTACTTAATCACAGTTAGTCTTTCATTTTACTTCTGAGCCACTTTTAAGCAGGAGTGCATGAGCATTATTCCAATTACTATACGTGGACTCTGTTGTCAGGCTTTTTTTTTTTTGGGTTGCCGTGGTTTGAGGAATGAATGCGTGCTTAAAGACTGAGCTTTGACTTCAGAAAGAAGAGTCTCTATCCTCCCCTTTGGCTCCAGTGTCCACGGGTTTTGGCCCCTAGAGAGCTGTGCCAGAAAACCTGAATTGGGCCAAACCTGGGTGAAAAGTTTTCTGGCAACACAGAACCAAAGAAGGTGAGAATCAAAGCTGTTCCTACACCCATCCCCTGTACAAAACAAGCCCATGGCCCATGCATGTTTCTTAGATAATCTCACCCTGCAACAGCCACAGTAAAACATACAAAGAAACACAGACCTCTCAAACCTGTTCTTCAGTGCAGAGGTTAGTGCTCTCCTTTTGCCCCACTCTTCCCGATTTTGAAGGGGTACTCAGCTCCCCCTTTTATACCCACTCTTGCATA